TTTTTGCTTAGATGTTTGATAAAGTTTCTTTGTTGCATTTTTCAGTATATATGTACCTCGTATATATTTTTTTGACTTTGTAGTTATGTTACAACTAGATTAGCTGCATTAAAACTGTGCTTCTGGTCCAGGATTTTGTCCTCAGACTTGATATTTTGAGGAAGTTGGAGAAGCATAGAGGCTGTGTAAATACAGTGAGCTTCAATGCGTCTGGTGAAATTCTTGTGTCTGGTTCTGATGACAGGAGAGCTATATTATGGGATTGGGAAGTTGGCAATGCCAAACTCTCATTTCATTCTGGTCATAGTAATAATGTGTTTCAAGCGAAATTCATGCCTTTCAGTGAGGATGGCAGCATTGTTACTTGCGCAGCAGATGGACAGGTATTTTTCTCCCCAAACTCTTAAAGAAGGTGAGTGTACATTAAATTTTTTAAAAGCGGGAGTAAAGGTACCCTAAAAATGATTTTCTATATTATGCTTGCCATGCTAAGTCACTCTGAAAAAATATAAATGTCACCTATATTTTACTGACAAAGTTGCTCTTTTTACAAAAAACTACCCCTTTAAAATCTCTCCTGAATGAATATAAATAGTCATATTACCCTTTAAAATCACTTCTAATGTACAAAGATTATCAAAGCAAGCTAAAGTCACCCCAAATATGGTTAAAAGTTACCTTAATATAGAGCATTGAGCGGTAATATTATTGTTCACACCTGAGGCACACAAATGGTTATGATTTCCCTTGGGGTTGTTTTTGGGGGTGCTTTATTCTCTTTAAATGTTGTTTGTGAAACTAATAAGGTTATTTGTTGGTTTTTTCTTTCTTTCTTTCTGTTTTTTTTTTTTTTTTTTTTTTTTTTTTTTTTTTTTTTAAAGAATTTGGTTTGCAATGAGCCGAATGAAGCTGATCTTTGTAGTTCACTGATTTAATCTGGGGAATTTGGCTTTGCTTTCCTGCTTATACCTTGTGCTTTAGACATTTGACATTAGTGATTTTTGTTTGCTTATTTGCAATGAACTTATGCTTTTAGGTTAGACATGCACAAATTCTTGAAGGTGGGCGTGTAGAGACCTCTTTGCTTGGTAGGCATCAAGGCCGAGCTCATAAGTTGGCTATTGAACCTGGGAGCCCTCACATTTTTTATACTTGCGGTGAAGATGGAATGGTTCAGCATGTACTTTACTCCATCTCTTCCTTTGACTTTTGTCTTTCTCCCCAGCCCCACCCCCACCCTTGCCTTGCAAAAGAAAGTTTTAAAATTTAATACACTTGTTACTGCACAGGCACTAAGCAATTGCTTTTAGTTTAGTCTTATATGTCAAACCTTCGATGTCTGAAGTGCACATTTAAAAACAATGCATAGACTATCAGAGGTGCAGCATAGAATGTAAAGTTAGTTTCCTGGCAATGCTTATATATTTGGAAGTTACAAAATTCTCACTTACTTTTTTTGGCTGTACGGATATTTTATCACCTTTTTTTCCTTTTTTTTTTTAATTTTTTTTTACTGCTGCCCTCAGTAGAATCTCACTAGAATTCTGTCCCTTTCTATCGAATCTTTCTTTTTTTTTTTTTTTTTTTTTGGGGGGGGGGGGTGGGTGGGGTGGGGGGGAGGGGGGGGGGTAAGTTAAGTGTTTGTAGTGTAAGTGCAGTTAAAGCATCAAGGATTTAATGTTGTGGTCAACTTCCCTGTACAGTGTACAGCTTGTATAATCTTTACATTTTTCATTTAGCCCATTGTCACCTTTCATATAGGGCTTTTAGGAATCGTAACTAACCATGCTGCTCTAATGACTGCCTTCACCAACACTGAATCTTTTATTTCTATGTTGATGCAGTTTGATCTGAGAACTAAAGCTTCTACAGAACTTTTTAACTGCCATTCAAATACTAAGTGGGGGCGTGACTTTACAATTGTGCAACTAAACACTATTGCAATTGATCCCAGAAGTCCTAATCTGTTTGCAGTTGGAGGGTCTGATGAGTATACTCGGATTTATGATATTTGAAGATATAAGTGGGATGGCTCAACTGATTTTGACCAACCTGTAAACTTCTATTGTCCTGAGCATCTGGTTGGTAATGCACAAGTAGGGATTACAGGTCTGGCGTATTCTGACCAAAGTGAGCTTCTTGTGTCCTATAATCACGAGCATATATATCTCTTCGCTAAAGATATGGGATGGGGACCAAATCCTCCTCCTACTCCATCATCTCCTGAGTCAACATGCAGTGATACTGATGAACCTGGCCATAATGACTCTTCAGAGGCGGCTACATCTGTCATGGATACAGAAAAAAGGCCTGTTCCCCTAGTGTTCAAGGGCCATCATAATCGTGATACAGTCAAGGGTGTGAGTTTCTTTGGGCCGAAAAGCGAGTATGTGGTAAGTGGATCTGATTGTGGCCGGATATTTATCTGGAGAAAGAAAGATGGAGAGCTCATTCGTGTCATGGAAGCTGATAAGCACGTGGTTAACTGCATTGAGGCTCATCCGCATACTGCAGTTCTTGCCAGTGGTGGAATTGAGAGTGACATCAAAATATGGACTCCAAAGGCAGAGGAGAGGGCTACTTTGCCTGCCAACATAGACGAGGTATTTCTTCTCTTAGATTCTTTGAATGTTAATATCCTTGTGGTCTTGTGGAGTAAATTCATTTTTGTACATTAGTTCTCAATTTAATAAGCTTCTGAAAGCGACGAGCTACTCTAATGCTCAACACCAAATAACTTAGTGCTGCTCCAGAGTTTTACATAAAAAAATCTAACCAAAGAAAGGAATCATGTGCTTGTATATGTTGTTTTTATTACATAAAGTCTTACTCCCTCTATTACTTTTCTAAGGTTAAGACGGATATTAGAAAAACGCTTTGGGAGTAGGTAAAATGGAAATGTTTTGGTAAATGACGGTGCCTGCTTTGGGAGTAATATTTTGGTAAATAAGAATAGTTGCTTTGGGATTATGTAAATATTATGGTAAATTAGAATAATTACATTGAAAGTAGGTAAATTTGAGGGTAAATGTGTTAAATTTTTATTTAAAACAGATCGTAACCAAAGAAAGGGAGCACTCTAACTTGAAAAGTAACTATAGAACAGGAACCGAGAGAGTAGTTGCTACAGTCTATTTGAAAACGTTGGAATTACAATTTTTTTTTCAAAATTATTCTAATTGGTTTCCTTTTTGGTATTTTTCGAGATGATGTAGATGTTTCCGCCACGTTTGACGCACTGCTCCTTTAAAAACTCTTCCCATTAGGTCTTTTCTACTTTACCTAGTATTACCATGGCCATGGTGTTTTGTTTTGCTTGGAATTTCAACAGCTCACCACCTAAATGCCTCCCACCTCAATCAGAAAAACAACGCTGACATACTTCCTGTAATGCTGAGAAAAAATTCCAAATAAGATTTCCTACTCTCTTTGTTCCCAAAAATAGTGTCATATGCTTTTTGCACTTGTTTTTAGGAATGTGAATATATACTACGTATAAAACAAGAGGTGGGACTTGGTTGATTAAAAGTGAATAAAGTAGAAGATAGTGGGTTTGGTAAATTAAAGGTGAATTAAAAAATAAAATATATATGGGGGGAGAAATGATACTTCTATTGGGGACAAGATTTTTGATTTTTGAATGTAATGAGAATTTTATTTTGGGATGGAGGGGGTTTTAAACATTGAACTCTTTTACTTTTGAGTAACTTATAGTTATTACATTTTTTTTTATGAAAAACGTTAATGGAAATAGCCTTTGTTGGTTACAAGGTATAGTTGCGTACAAAATGACCCTAATTACTCTGCTAGTGACTCAGTGAGAATCTCGTTAACGACATTGTGGTAATGTCAGATAAGTGGCGGAGGTAGTCTAATTTATCTCTGCATTGCTTTTCTGAAAAGGTTTTGATGAGTGATCGGTCTTATATCTTTGAGTTTGGTGATTCATCTGATGATGATGACGATGATTCATCTGATGATGATGATGACGACGATGACGATGGCGAATCTGAGGATGATGACGAAATCTATGATGAGGTTAATTATTGTTATTATGATGATGATGAGGATGATATTGACGATGACGATGAGGATGATGATGATGAAGATGAGGATGGCGTTGATGCAATTAATATGGATGATGATAAAAATATTGACAATGATGATAGTTTAAATGATGGTGATAATGATACTAATGACAATAATTTTTAATCCATTTCCAGTTGAGGCCAAGGCAAAGGGACTGGATGTATCATGTGACTTCGCCTCAGGAGCTGCTTTTGCAATTAGTTTCATTGGAAAATCGCCTATCAAGACCAGAGCAAAGCAGTAATTCTGGTTCAGGACAGGATTTCATGGAACTTATACTGTCACTGAGCAGGCGCAATGGTGATTCATCTGATGATGGAGGAGATAACGACAGTGGCCCTGAAGATTTCTTCAGCTGATTCTACTTAATATTGCAGGGTCATCTTCCCTTTCATGGAAAAGGATTTTGAACTTAAGTTGTAAATATTGACATAGCGAATTATTGTCAATTACTTCTTTTAATTGTTTAAAAGATTTATCAACAATCACCTTTTTTATTAAAAAAAACTGTATCTTCAGCTTTTGCTCTTCCTCTGATGTGTATATATATAATTCCTGAATTTTTGTCTGCATTCTGACAAGGGTTTCTGGTCACTTGCATTGTTGATTTCATGGGTTTATTAAATGGGAACAACCCTTATAACCAAGAGTTATGATAAATTGTACGGAGTAATTTTCAACCACATTCATCTGACGAAATGCTCAGTTGGCATTTTTTAATATTGCAATCAGGTTATTAACAATCTTTATTTCAGTCTTTAGCTATTTTGTACAGAAACGGTGAAACATTGGTGATTATGGAGAAGAATGTTTTTCTGGCGTTTCACTAGTTAAACAACACATTGGTGGTTTTGGAGAAAATGTTTTCTTGGCGCTTCGCAAGTTAAAGACCTGATGATTCGAAGCAGTGATAATCGAAGCGGCTTACTAGAGCAGAAAATTCAATTGCTTTACATTCTATTCCAAGATAATTTTGCCAAAATTACATGTGCGAGTTTAAGTCTAATTATTGTAGTGACTATCATAACTATAAGCAGCACTCAATTAACTAAAGCTTAACCAATGCAACCTCTTGCTTGCCAATGATTCCTATCAACACCTGAACTATAGCACTCTGACATCATGTAAAAAATCGATCAGGAGATAGTACACTGAGTGCCGGTCTACCATCTAAAATCGGCAAACATCAGTTGAGGTCTTCAAAATTTTATGCAGCCAAAGATCTGCATATATTACAAAGCAATTAGTCATTTTACGACCAACATCTTTTTCAATCAGTTGGTATCATGAAGAGTTACCTCAAACCTTTAAAGGGTAGGTATGACCTTTACTGCTTTTCCAATGATTAGCACATGATCTATCGAGCACTAAGCTCTGCCATGCCTATAGGACAAGACTCCATTCTTGTCATCAGTTACTGGTTAGCTCCTTGGGTATTCAAAAACAAGACCTTCTGCCACACATCTTGCCCTGGCATGTCCGAAAAGCTTGCTCACAATAGCAAGGGAAAAGTCAGTTGCAGTAATTAGTCCCTTGGACGTAATAAGCTTCCCATCAATCACTACCTTGGCACCATCAACCATCTCGATTTTTAGCTCGTCTGATAAGGAGGGATGAACAACTATTTTCTTATCCTATATTCACCCACATAAAATTGAGTCAAGTAAGTACCATCTCTTAGAATAATACGAAGTAATAAATAAAAAAACACTACTCCCTCTTTTCTCTTTTTCACCAATGCAGCAGACAGATGTAAAAGCACATACCAGATCAGAAAGAACTAGCACTTACCTTGAGCAGCCCTTGTTTATGCAGGAGTGTCAGAGAGGAGCATATTGCTCCATACATTCTGCCGGCAGATTTCTGTTCTTTAAGTAGCTTCTTAAGAACCTTTGACTTACTTAGCCTCTTAACCCCATTGAGGCCACCCTGTAAATTACGAAAACCATTGTAAGAAGTATTAGGCAGGTCAGAAACAAGTTAATTTCTTCCTGTAAAAAGATAAGACACTTGCAACCACCCTCCCACCCCCCCCCCCCCTTAAAAAAAAAAAAAAAAAAAATCTCTCCAAAGAAAAGGTAAAAAAAGTAGTATGAAGTATAATGTGGGGCCTTTCTTCCCTCAAATGGGCCAGTCAACTAAAAGAGAGGAAATTATGCATTATCCACCCTAATACTTTTTTCATTCAGTTTTCTTTTGCCGACTAATAATTTAGCAATTATGAGCACAATATATTAAAACACCTGCATGCACTTGCCAATTGCCATATCCAATCGTGCAACTTATGTCCCTGATATCGTATAGCTCTTCTATATTTTTGTCCACTGTTCAGTCACACACTCCTGCTATTGATATCAAACTCATTTTCTAACCACAAAACAAGCGTCTTAACAGAAATGAGCCATTACTTTGGTAAGGCTGAGAAATCCAAAACATGTAGTATTCTATTAGAGTTGAGAATAGAGGAAACAGTTCTCACCGGAAGAACAATCAAGTCATAAATGAACTCAGAAGCTACATCAATTAGCTTGTCAGCAATAATATTGGTTCCATGAGATGCCAGAATTTGCAGGGACTTTTCAACTGAAGCAACCACAACATTAACTTTTGCTCTTCTAAGAATGTCAACTATGGTCACAACCTCTGTTTCATCAGATCCATTCGCCACTGGAATGAGTACCTTTGTGGCATACGACAAATTAATCAGTGAAGGCATCTCCAGAAAAAAAAACAAAGATCAAATACAAGTGAATTCTGCTATGTAAAGGTTAAGACTACCAAAGGTGAAAGGCCATCAACAATTATAGAATATGAGCACTTTGTGTTATCAAGGACACCCGGTTTCTGCTTGATTATCAGGGTAATTATAGGTGAAGCACTTACAACCAAACTAAGGAAATGATGAGAAAGAGTAAACTTCCCGTTTTTCAGTCCCTTAAAACAGTGCTGTGCCATTAGAAGATATGCAATGCAACAGAAGCATTGAGCTTAATAATAATATTCATAATTGGCATTCAAAACAAACCTCATGTAATTGGTATAGAATGGCAGAAATAACTGGACCAAGTACAACAAAGCTAGCATTTGACAAGAATAAAATGAATTACAAAAAATAATTGAATCAGCACATGGGTCATCAATTAACTATGGATTTCCCAAGACTCCCAACACCTATAGCAATTACCACTCCATCTTTTTTGACGTGTTGGTCTTGGGAGATGGGAGTTGAGGACAGGGATCACCAAGTTCTGCACAATGTAACAGTGTGACACAACATTTTCAAAATTCCTAAACGTAGCACATATTCAGTTCTGAGATCAGAAAATAACACATATAAGTCACTCTACAATCCTACAGAGGAATTCAAACAGCACTAACAATGGCGGATAGACAGTGTATGCTACTGGAAATGAGAATGCAGATGGATATCAACAGTGTAAATTAGGGCCAAATCTAAACCATCACTAAAGATAAATCTGCTTACATGAGGAGGGTGATCAAGCAACCATTCCACTTCATTGAACTCTTTTCTAGGCTGATCTTCACTAGGTAGCTGAATAATGAGTCCAAAAATACAAGGATTAGTAACTAGAACATTAATTTATGCAAGTAAGAATGTGGTTAGAGAATGCAAACTGATTAAGAAGATCTATTCTGGGCAAATAGATTAAAAAAATGTAGTCTTAACCTCTAAAAGAAATTAAGGGTGTCATTTCTAGAAGTATAGACCACTTGAAAACACAATAAATCACATGGACCAGTATGGTCAACACCGTGTTTGATTGGTTTATCTACTCCATATGACAGACTAAACAATTTACAAGACAACCATAATGAACGGAAATTTAACATATAGCATGCAGGAGTACCATCTTCGTCAATTCACTGCTGGATGATATACGATTTAGGATTTCCTTTTTTGTCCATTAGTTGGTCGCATAAAGACCCTATGGTGAAATAAAGCCAATGAAAGGAGTTGCACACATAAACAACCTTATTGACTATTTAAAGGGAAATTGAATAGTTCCAACCACTCAAATAGCCTCATGGGTTGTTGTGGGATCCATAGGAAAAACCTCGACATCTTTCCTTTACGGGTCCAAAAAAATTCAAAATTGTCAAGAATTGAAGGCTATAATCTACACTTTTGGACCAATTTCGGAGGTTTCGGGACTCAATGCCGAAAATCTCAAGATTGTTGGGGACGCACCTTGGGGTCATATAATGTTGTTAAGAACCATATATGTCGATCACATAAAGGTCCATGGTGGCTTTGAGTTAATTAAGAGAGGTGTAATATATGGCTTAATTGATGGTTTAAGGCAAAGTGGATGGTTTCAACCACCCAAACGACCTCTCGGGGTGTCGTGGGGTCCATGAGAAGAACCCCGACCAATTTTCATTTTGAGTTTGAAAAGGTCCAAAATTGCAAGTATATAATCCATGTTCTTGGACCAACATTACAGGTTTAAGGACCCACGAATATATCCGGATTGTAAGATGTATATCGGGGTCATATAATATTAGTTGGAACCATGTATGACCGCTGGTCGGTCATATAAAGTCCTTTGGTGGCTTGAGTTAATGAAAGGGGCATAAGTTGTAAATGGGTAACTGGCATTTTAAAGGCAAAGTGGACATTTCCGGCCACCTAAATGAACTCCCAGAATGTCTTGGGGTCTATGGGAAGCACCCCGGCTTGTTTCCTTTCCGGGTCCAAAAAATTGAAAATTGTCCAAATTTGAAAGTCATAATCCACGCTTTCGAGCTAATTTTGAAAAAAAAATTCAAAAATAAAGTGAATGAGTGAGGTGCCCCCCCGGAATCATATAAGTTGGTTTGAAACCATAAGAAGCTTATCAATCAGTTTATAGTTTCAAGAATGAGTTTGGTTCACTGTGGCTATTTTGGAAATATGTTGCATTATTGGTAGTGAAAAGCTACAAGAGATGGTTCTAATAATAACCAACTTGGCATCCCAAGGTCCTATTAAGATCTATGAAGTCCATCTTCATTGGTGTTGTTGATTATTCCCAAATTCGTTACTTTAATATTCCATTATAATGTTGAAATATTATAACATTATACTATTACACTATATTTTTGGGTGTTTGTTACTCACCCTCATCACATTAATCAATCAATCATTCAATATGTGTATATAGATAGTAATAACATTCAAACAGTTAATACCTTATTCCCTCATCACTAATAATACAAACAACCCCAACCACCCTATTCCCAATCCCAAATAACCCCCAAACCTTAAAAAAAATGCGCTAAACAGGCCGTTTGAGATCTACTAAAGTGTCAAACACCCATCCCCCTAACTATTCCTAACCTTTTCCCATCTACTGTGATTGTTTCCCTCAACTTACCCTGTTTTTCCTATTATCGCCTTTTTTCCCCATATTTTCCCTTTTGGGGCCCATAATAATTATTTTTTGGAGAACATAAAGTGTCAAAAATCAAGATTAGTACCCATTCTTTTGATTCCACCAAAAAAAAGGGTATTATTATCACAAGTTCTAACCCATTATTGTGTTAGTGCTAGATCATTTATAATATAGGATTTTCTTCTTTGCATAGTTTACATATTTTGGTCTTGGAATTTTATGAGAAATGAATTGATAATACATCATCATTTATACTTCGTAATTGGTTTTCATGCATCATCTTGCATAATTGCAAATATCAAATTCCCTCTTCATATGCTTACTGTCTCCTACTCCTTATTAACTCTGCATTCCTTATATACCTCATCATATGCATGGATAAAATCAATAGACAGGTTCCATCATAAACCCCCAAGAAAAGTAAAAAGAAAAAAGAAAATGAGAACATCAAAGATGATACAGAATTTCCTTAAATCAAACAAATGCCAGCAAGCTTACCAGCAAACCTTTGACTTCCTGAGTTGCAGACTCGCCAAACAATTGTTCTACCAATGACAGGGCAAATTCAAAAGTAGTTCCTGGGCCACGACTAGTTGTAAGCTCTCCGGATACTTGGATATTGGATTTGACAGCCCAAAAGGAAGAAAGCTTGCCCATGAAAGCAGGGTGACAAGTGATCTTGTAGTGAAAGGTAATGAAAAATTAATCAGCTTCATTAATTTAATATGAGACACTAGGTGTGCTTCAAAGAAAATCAGAAAGACCTACAAGAAATACCAGTATGCAAAATATACCCGCTTTCTTCTTAGTAGTCCCCATGGTTGGAGGGTAACAGCTGGAGCAGCACATATAGCACCATATAACCTTTTCGCCTCAGCATGTTTGCTAGTAATATTACGCAGAACTTCACAATCTCTCAGCCGAGCAGAACCAGGCATACCTCCCTGCATATATGTCAGTAAACTCTATAAGACACAGATGTTGTAGAACCAAAAGGAGGTAAATGTGAAACTCAGCTAAAATAAGGACATCCAAACACTTGAAAATTTCTAATTTACACACACATTCCAAGTATTGCAACTCTATTGAAGATAAATTTAAGATACATTCAACTCACAGCCACACAAAATGAAACAAACAAAGAGCAAAGGAACTAACCGGTAAGGCAATAAGGTCGAATATCTCATTAGTGCAAGAATTGATAGAGGTATCAGCAACAAGCTTCACACCACCAGACGCCTCGACCTCGAGCTGTGGTTCAACAGAGGCCACCGTCACACAAGCACCAGCTTGGCGCAAAACTTGCACCAATATCACAGCTTCCATTTCTTCTGTTCCATACCCAATTGGGATCAAAACCTGTCAACACAATTACATTAAGCTCTTAAAAGGACACAAGAAACAACCCATTTATCCTTGTTCCAAATAACATCAGAATTTCATAATACAAAGCAAGACCTTTTTAGGAGAGACAGTATCATGTATAGTTGGTTTGTCTGTTTCTACTGCTTCAGTTGCAGCAGCTGCAGCTGTTGGACTTTTTTTCAAAGTGGGTACGCCACCGCGAAACGGCACAGAAAAGGAGGATGAGAGTGAAGGTAGGAAACTAACTGAACAACCCATGGAAATGGGGTGAAAGTTGAGGTATGGCCTATGAAAGCAACATGTTTTTGGAGCCAATACCGATGATAAACACTCCATTAGTATTCTACTTCCACTCAACCCCACCTATCTTCTTGCTTTTTTCACCCCAAAAAGAGTAAACTTGCAAGAAACAGCAGAATTAAAACTCAGCTGTGAGATGATGGTTACAGAGCATACTTAGCTAGAAATGTCAGTCAAGCATTTTATCGAACACATGGTGGGCACTTTTCGAAAACTTACTATACACTCAATTTGGTTAAAGTAAATCTGAAAATTATAGATGGGTGTTTACCTTCATCATCTCATGTACATGAAGGGAGAATTCGAGCTCGATTAGCACTCTAAAGAGTGAAGGGGTTGGCGTTCCACGGAGTTGTTCAAGAGATTGTGAAGTGAAGTGTTGGGTATTCCATTATCCATAGTTGTGTTGATATTTCTAAGCAATTGCTCACTACGGAGTAATTAGCATGTGCCCGTCCGGGTTATGAGATATCGAGGATGTTTATCCAATACACTCGGGTGTAAAATTGTACACTCTCTGAATTCACCTGCTTGGTTACATTTGAGCGTGCTCATGTATTTAGTAGAGGTTAAAGTAAGTCTGTTTTAATTACTAAGGTTATGTTCGGTTCAACTTATTTAAGTTGAATTAATATTCCAAAAATGATCATAAATTAATTCATTACTCTTGCTTTTCTATCTCTAAAAGTTCTTTCTAGACTGTATCTTTGTTAAACCGACCTTAATCCAAAAATGTAGTCCGTATGCAACTTATCACGATTCCATGTCAACCATAACAACCGGATATTTATATGTTAGAAAGCTGACAGTTTAGTCCTTATTATTTATGCATGCTATATTCTCTCTCTTCTCTTCCTCAAATTTCTTGCCATTTTTTTTCTGTGATCATCACTTTCCTTTCCTCCGTTTACCTTTCTACGTTTCTTCTCTGAGCTATTCAAAATCATGGAAACCCTAACTATGTCTTCTGCAACTGCAATTCTCAATTCATCATCTTCTCCTTCTTCTCCTCTATCCATCTTCTCTCCTAAACAACCTTCTAGGCCTAATCTACTTCGTCTTCCTCTCGCTTCCAAAGGTGATCGAATTTTTTTCAATTTCTGAGCTTTAATTTATTCTGTTTTAGTTTAATTTTGATTTTTAGCCCAAAATTTGTTATAATTGTTGATTAATTACGAATTTTGAGGATTTTGATTTTGATTTTTGATATTTTTTTTAGCAGGCAGAGATGATGAATCTGATCTTCAATCAGAGTCCAGTGAGCTGAGGATTGTTCCCGTCGTTGATAATCGCAGCCTTTCTCTCTCTCCTCTTTCCAAGGTAATTGAGTATTTTGCTTGATTTTTATACTATTTTTGTTTTATATATGCTGATTGAGTTGCTGCTGTATTGAATTGAGGACTGCTGTAGTAACAAGGAAAATTATGCTTGTATTAGTTGTATATATGTGCATTGGAGTATCAATTTGATATTTTCTAATGCATTTTGCAGAGAAATTAGGTTTAGTAATAGAAATATTGATTAGTTTTAATTTTATGCTTGACTAAGACTTTGTTTGGGGTAAGGAGAAGTAAAAAAGCCAAGGCGAATGGCGAAGGAGGAGGAGAAAGGGAGAATTTTGAAGTGTACTTTGTATAATAAAGAGAAGAAAGTTAACAAGAAAGATTTTTTGAGATAAAGAGGGAGATACGTCTATTAAATTTGAGCTACTCCGTATATGTTTTGAGGTGGCAGTCATTTTGATGAGATAAAATGCTCGCATTTTTAGTGTAGATTTTCTGGTCTGGCCAAATAAGTCATGAGCTTTCCTGTATCAGATTTGAATGTTCACTTTTTGTTATTTCAATACTTGTGGTTGTTTGGTTGATCATATACTGAGTAATACATTTCCTAGGAAGTGCTATTTCCTCCGTTTTGTGGGAAATAGAAGTTCCTTTGTTTTTTCCAGCCAAACAACTTCACATTCTATGACTTCCTAGGCTTTCCTACATTAGATTTGAATGTTTACTTATTGTTACATCAATGACTTATTAACAGTTCTTATGATTGTTTGGTGTTGTTACTATTTTGTGTATGGGTTTTACTGGTTACAGGAATGGTTGTATGTTTATCTTGATTATTCTAAAGTGTGTTCAAGAGCTAATATAACCCCAACGTTCTCATTCTTATTAATCTCTACTCAGGATACTGCAATGGGATTGGTATTAAGTGCTGCCACTGGCAAAGGGTGGACAACGGGATCTGGGATGGAAGGCCCCCCTGAGTCTGCTGGTGATGCTGAATCAAGTGCAGCAAAGATCTCCACTTTCCCCTGGTCGCTCTTTACAAAATCACCTAGGCGAAGAATGCTTATTGCCTTCACCTGTAACATTTGTAGCCAGCGAACAACTCGTGCCATCAATCCTCATGCATATACTGATGGTACTGTCTTTGTTCAGGTAATGTTGTATGGACCAGCTATGTCTTTTGGTCACAGTTCTCTGCTTTTGTTAATCCTTGTTAGTTGGTGCTTAAGAAATGATTAATTCACCATTTTATTTATTTTTGGAATGTCTTCGAAACCGGTCATGTTTGGGATGAATTGTGAAATATGATATTGATCATCTCTTTTCTACTTCCCTCTCTGCTCCTCTCATGCTATCTTTGTATGTGCGTTGTTGAAATTCTATTTTTTAACTACTATTTCTACCAACTTGCTTACTTATCTTATAGAATTTATAAATTTTAACTGGAAGCCTGATCATCGTTTCATGCTGAAATTTATATGTTGAAACACTTTATACAATGGATTGTCTTTCTCTGTGCATTCATCATTGTCCTAATCCATATCATTCTGTGTTTTTTTCCTTTTTTGGCAGTGTTGTGGCTGCAATGCATATCACAAACTTGTTGATAATCTGAATTTATTTGATGGTATGAAATGCTATATAAATTCAAGCTTCAAATATGGAGGCAATGAAGCCAATGTTAAATTTGACTATCAGGATATTGATGATGGCGGTGATGGATTTTATGGAATATAAAACAATGGGACATATGCTACTATAGAATATGTACATTCTGCATCTATGTATCTGAATCTCAATAGTTGTGACATAGGTTTATTGTACTTGTAAACATTTTCTGTTAAATTATCTACTGTGTTCATATAGCTCAATAAAGTCTTTAAGTTTAATTGAGGTTGAGAATGAGTCACTCGTACAGTCGTACTAAATTGGATTAGTTTTAGTTGCCTTTTAAAGTTATACTGCAGCTCGGTTATTTCCATGTTCTAGAGATCTTGAGCATGCATTCAGTTTGGGCTTCATTTTTCACTCTGCTTCAATTTAATGCTTGAAGCCTTGCCTTGTATAGGAGGATACTTTGAATTATTATAGTGTTGCATGTATTTTAAATAAAATGATAGGGTATTAGGAATTAAGTGTTATCATATTAAGTTCATTACTGAAAAACGAGTAAGAATTCTTATCATCAAGGATTCTGTAAATGCAAAGTACACTTTCATCAGAAATTGATGTCCTTGCGAAGAGTGTAATATACCTTTGCGGGAATAGCCTTCTGTTGGATATTATAAAAGTTAAGAATATAATAATTCTGTTCATTTGTGTGGAAGTGATTTGTCCAATTGTGAATTTATATGTATGGTAGGCCAGATGGAAATCAGCCCTAAAAGATTGTTGAGTGCGTAAGGGTGCTTTTGGTTTATGAAATTCTGTGGTCTAACTGCACTTACTTAGGGATTGTAATCATCAAAAAGCCCTTTGAATTAAGAAATTGTCTGGCTATCCTATTTAGAAAAACATAAACTAGCTAAATTGGGGTCTTTTATAAACTTGCCCTCTGTATATACAAGGTAATCATGGGAAATCTGATGTACAGGCCTTGGCAGCTGCCTTCTGACTTGGTCTCCTTCTGTCTTGGCAGCATACCTCAGCATGTATATGTCACTATTCATTCTGCGAGATGCCCACCTTACATTCTGAAAGAGTAGATGTTATTCTTACTAGAACTCTTCATATCTGTGGCCTAGGCTACCATGTTGCTTGAGATCTTTGGAGTTGCCCTTATCATTAGACTTTGAAGGAAAGCCATTGCCTGCACCAAAGTTAGCATTTTCTTCAAATTCCTTGGTAAAATAATGAATTTCATCACCCATGAGATAAAATCATATCTAGTCTTTTAATTAACCCTTGGTCATTTACTCATGTTCATGTCAGTCAAGGAGGTAGGAGGCCTTACCGTGCATAACGCAATACACAACAGGCTGAAACCAGGGAAATGGAATGGTGCTTTGTCTGAGAGGAAAGTAGCTGACGATACAGGAAAGAAACAATTAAGGTTATTTGCTCCTCTTTTGGGGAAAAGAAAAGAAATTTGAATTTGACCTACCTGTTAGAGGGCTAAAAACCAATGGTGAAATGATATTGGCCAAAGAACCTATCCCTGAGATGCATCCTTGAGCCTTACCCTGAGAACAGCAAACACGAGTAGAAAAATGTTACAAGAGAACAATTAGAAGAGAGTTTCTGCAAGGAAAACAGTATGTAGGAGCTTAGAGCATTTGTCCTTGCTGAATAAGAAAATTAGAGAAATGATACATGAATCTTTATATGTGTCAGACACTTTACCTGTTCACTTTCTCCTACTTGTTTGGAGGCAATGCTACGCATCTGCACACGTTTAGCAGTCTTTGTCATGCGCTAGTAGACATTAGAGACAACAGTGAAGCTAATTATGAGAGACTTACACAAGGGTTTGTGAAAACAACGAACACTGAAAGCCCGGCTACTGCATAAATGACCTGTGCAAATAGTATTGATGATCTAATAGTCAGCAAAATTTCAAAATCTCCAGTTCTAAGCAAAGAAATGTCATCAATCATGTAAAGGATGAAAAGTTGGATGTAGCTTAAGTAAATCTTGTTGCATATAAGTGAGAGTTGTATCTGTAAGTGAATACTATTGCACAAAAGCATAAGTTGTTTGTGAGATTGGGTATGGTCTAGAGATATTACCCAAACATCCCAAGCAACGCTGTTAAGAATCATCTGCAAAATTCAGAAGCTCATTTAGCAGTATGATCTAATGTGATCTGTTATACAAATAGTGGAAGGTGAGAGAGAGAAACTACGTTTGTGCTCGCCACTAAGAGACCAAGTCTAAGCAACCATTCCTCTCCTGTTACTGATAGTAGCATGGGCATCAAAACTAGCTGCAGAATTTGATATGTTCTGATTTGAGAGGTGTGAGAATACAAACTTTTGAAGCTATGAGAAACATTAAGGGGTGAGAAACATTAAGTTGATTTCAATACCTGTGAGACCATTCCTGCAATACCAACTATCAGCATCAGGTCTGCGAACTGGTTTTTGCTAAAATGAAACTCTGCTTTCAGGAAGTACTGCATCAGATGAAACATGTTTCTGGTTACATATTACAATCTCATCTAATCTTACTGCTAGTTTAAGATCATGCTATATACAAAAGGTTCTTAATATTCGATGTTTCCTGTGTATAAAGGCCAGGCACTTTTATGCCCTGTCACATTGTTTCTTTTGCTGTTTCTGATATTCATGCTACTGTTCGATGTACGTTATTGTTAAACTATACAAACCCCGGTCTTCAATTGTTTTAGATTTTTAGAGATCTTATGTGGGATTAGTTCTGTGTTAGAGGTTGCTTGTAATTTGGTAGGTTTGAGTCATTACCATCAATGAAGCGTGTAGGCCACCCTCTGCTAGGCTATTGAATAACACCATAACTGCGACCTGTGAAAATGTTTTGCTGCGTAAGAGAAAAATGTTTTAGATGGGTTAGACAGTTGATATTGAGAAGGGAAACAAAATCTAGACGATCAAGTTTCGAGGCTAATGAAACACCTGCTTCCTAGTAAGCTCTTTATATCATGGATGGTAGGGATCTTCTTGAAAATCTGAACCTTCTTTGTCAAATCATCATCTGAGGAACTGCTTGGCTCAGATTTCAGGAGTGGCTGAATTGAAGCATCAGTTTTACGTGTTGTTTCTTGAAGGAAAATCCTCATGTAAGCTGCGGCAGCCATGGCTGAAAATGCTGCAGCCTGTCAAGTTTATGTTCATTAGTCAGAGACTGTTTGATGAATAACGATAGCAGGTGCCAACGAGCGAGTAAGAGAGAGTGAATGAGAAAGACCTGAAATGTTTGTGCTGTGGAAAGAAACCTAGCTGATAATGTACCACATACAAATGCAGCAGAACTAACCCCTGCAAGAATACCAAATGCTGATGCTCGTTTTCCCTCTGAAATTTTGTCTGCCTGGGGAGAAAAAATTAAAAAACTATTAAGTTCTAAATTAATTGCTACATTTATATTGCTTTTACATTTCTCCATTGATCTTAAAATTAATTTGCGAAAATTTAAAACATATAACATGTTCTAATGACTTTGAAATCCCGTGTTTTATCTTTCATGAATTTTTTTGTTCATCTAACTTAACTAGTTTCAATAATAAAAATGAGTAGGTTATATTCTTTAGTGTAGTAATGTACTTCGTACTAGTTACAGCTTGATTGGTAGAGCGGTAATAATGTGCAGTGACAGTAAATTATATACAGAACAATGACGAGTTTCTCTAGGTGTGCTAAGAATTTTTTTTTTATTTTTTTTATTCCCATATATCAAATTAAAGTTCTTAATTTCATTAAGCTCTACATCAAAATAAAACAAAATTTAAAATAGAATAAAGTAAATTTCAAATATAGAAGAAAGAAAAGTAAAAGGGAGGGTTTGGTTAAGATAGGATTTGGAAATTAGTAAGTGTCTATCCAACAATTTGATATAATTAAACTACTTAATTGGAAAATAAACTTAGGAAGGTGCTTATATCATGCCACTTTAGGAAAAACAGATATCCCAATTACTAAACGGAGTGTCGACGATCACTTCGAGATGTGTCCAAAATAGGAAGCTGCTGGAAGGTCAAATTAGTAATTAGATCAAACATCATTTGAAAAACCCCAAAAAATACTTGTATATGCCACTTTGTATGATTGTATGAAGCTAAGCCGTATTATGTTCATACTAAAGAAAGCGACAATTATCCCAATATCCCATACTTCAAATCACCCAAAAAAGAAATCAAAGTTGAGAAACTTCTAAATTTGTTTGGTTTATACTTGATTTTTCTATTCAATATTCCTCTAGTTACATAGAATTTTGAAAATGATATGAGAACAAAATAACTACTTCGCAATTTGCATTATATATTAAAAAAATAATAATAAATAAATAAATAATTGTCATGTTGGTAAGACCATTGTTATTGAGGCATAGGGAAAATATATATACATATTTTCTTAATAATATTAGTGGATTATTTCTTATAATTAGGTTTATCTATTAGCAAGTATTCTCTATGTAATACTTTTAGGGCTTGTTCTCTTCACCTTATAAATATAAGTTTTAGGTCTAATAAGGTTCAGAAAAGTTACAATAAGGTCCAATAAGTTTAATATAGCTTATTAAGTTCAATAAGGTCTAATAAGTTTAATAAGATAATAAATTCTAATAAGTTAAATAAGGTCTAATAAGTTCCAATAAGTTATATAAGTTCTAATCAAGTCTAATAATAAGGTCTAATAAGGTCCAATAAGTTCAATCAGTTTAATAAGTTCCAATAACATTTAATAAGTTTAATAAGGTCTAATAAGTTTAGTAAGGTCTAATGAGTTCAAATAAGTTCAGTTAAGTTCAAATAAGTTCAGATAAAATAAGTTCAAATCCAATAAGGTGAAGAGAACACACTTCTTATTACCTCTTTTATCATGGTGGGCTTATGGGTTAGTATGATAATTAAGGTTATAGATACTAGTTATTTAGCTAGTATACATTTGAGTGTACCTAAATATACTCGTAAATTGTGGGATTAATTAAGTGGTATTGTGTTGTGCACACATCAATATCGCGTAGTCATATAAAATGCTTGTACACATGAACATGTGTATGTTCGAACACTTGGACATACAAATCTATGCATAACAATCAATAGATGATGTGTTATAGATAATTCGAAATGGAGAAATCAAAGACATCAGAGAGAAGTAATATAAAGGCATATATAGAGAGTTAGAGAACAATACGTACAACGTAAGCAAGAGAGAGACAATGAATAGCCCCTTCGGATATCATGGATGCCAATGTTCTTAGCACGTAATAGGCGTAGAAAAAGCTCGTTTCCCTACTATATGCCAATACCACTGCATTCAATTAAGAGCAACAAAAATAATTTGTCATAGTGAATTTTTTTTTTTTTCTTGAATCATCAATATTGGCAAATCAATAGAAAGTTATAGATAACACTTCACACTTTTTACATAGTAGTAGATATGAGTGCAAACAACACGCATGCTACTAGAATTTTCTCATTTCACCTCCAAATTTGGAAAAGATTAAAATGAAAGAGACAAGGAAGACAATTGCATTCCACTTTGCATGCCACTTGATGGGATTTCTCTATCTACCAGAAAGATAAAAAAAAAAAAAAAAGGATATTTCATGGGTAAGGTAGCTAATTAAATACTCCGTATTAATTTTACAAAGTTAAAGAGATTCTTCATCACTTAATATTTATTACTCCCCCTCCGTCCCTAAAAGAATGACCTTTTGGCCAAATTTTAATCCCAAAATGTTCATCCCATTTACATTTAATTACCCTCCAATTTGCAATAATATTTGTGCAAAATTAGCTTTCCCATGTAAAGTTTGTATTTTTTTATTTACTTTTATTACTTTTTCTTTCTACTTTGCAAATCCCATATAAATGTCCTTTTTCAATGTACTTTTATTAAATTTCCCATACACTTGTACTTTCAACTTAAATTTCTTAATACCCATGAAAACTCCCCAAAAGGGAAGTTCTTTTAGGGACGGAGGGAGTAAAAAAAAATAAAGTCAGCAAAATTAATTTAATTTCAACAAAATAGTTACTTTACTAAGATAAAGTAAAAAGTGAATCATTAATACGGAGTAATAAGTTTTAAGCACTAAAAATTTATTAAATTCAATACAAATAATTTAAATTCAAGCTAAGATATATAATACAAGTGAAGTAATCCCTTTAACATGTATGGTGGTTTTTTTTTTTTTTTTTTTTAAACCAAGAGATCCCATGTCATAGCCACAAGACATATAATATACGCGTATTCATATTGAGTTCAAAAATAGCCAACTATTACAAAACAAAATTATTTTTCAAAATTATTTGCCACCTCTTATGAGAGAAAATGATACTATTTATATGTGTCACTCTCCTATGATTGAAACGTTCATAAAGATAATAAAACTCTTTCTATTTATATGTAATCACCCACACAATTGTAACATCTAAATTTATTGTAAGATTTTTTTAAAATAATATCATAAAGTTAAATGTGAGTAAGAATGCAAATAACAAAAGAATTTGATAACCAATAAGTCAAATTGTTTAAGCAAAGCATTAGAATTTAGAAAGTAAAAAGTAACAAATTACCTAGGGGGAGAATATTGAGCGTCAAAGGAAGTGTCAAGAGTGATTTCCTGCCGTAAATGTCCGATAAACTACCTATTAACGGAGTCATTAACACTGACCCTATCCCTGAAATCTGCACCATAATATTCATATTATACCACAATTAAACAAAGCCAATAAAATTTAGTGTCTTAAGTTTTTTTTAAAAGAAAACCTATTTTTGTGTCTTCCCTTCAATTTCTAGCAAGTGTATGATCCATGTGTAACATACTTACATACTTAATCTCAAAACTTACGTCGTATTTTTGGAATTTTTAAGTCATTAGTATGTCTAACATTATAACTCAATCTATCTTATTAGCTAATTCAATAGTCAAAAACATTAAGTGGCGAAAATAATTATGTGTCCAATTTAAAACGTATTATATTACATATGTTAGAATTTATACTCTCTCTATTTTTATTTTATATATCCTATTTTTTTTTTTTTAATATATACATTTTTCGATGTAATATTGTAATTATATTTCAACTACATACTATGATATGTCCGTTTCGAACATTAATTTATCATTTCACCTAGATCATCGTAAGAATCATAACACATATTCAATTCAAACTCTCTCTTTTTATCACTTTTTTGTTTATTTTATAGTTTTCCAAGTATTGATTCACATGTTCAATTCAAACTCTCTCTTTGCCTTTTCACAGAAGATCAAATTTTGTGTGATATGATTCTCTTACCGGACCATTAATAAGAAAGAAACCATTAAATAATACGGAGTGCAAGTAAATAAAGCTAAGGTAAAAACACATGCAAAAATCTCATCTATTTCTTGAAAATAAAAAAAGGAAAAAAGGCCAACTTTAATCTATAACTGATCAAACGAATGATATATTTGTACATGCTACCAGCCTACCAGTAGTTTTAAAAAATGTTTATGCTTACATTGAATGAAAAGACTCAAGCAATATGAGTATAAAAGTGATTTTTTTTTTTTCTTTGCGATTGAAAAGTAAAATTTTTTTTGGTCCATGAAAGAGATGTACAATTAATCAATTATTAATTTTGTTGCCGACATATACTAGACAAAAAAAAAAAAAATACTCGTATAGTATTGCCAAGGGAAACAAACGAAAGAAAAATAACTTTAAAAAAAAATTAAATAATGGACGAAGACATCTAGACGAGTAGAACTTTCGTTTTTTAACGTTTTTTGTGAAGATATACAATAAAAAGTTAAAAACTAAAATAATTTCGGCAAGTAAAAAAAACAAGAGAAGGAAACTTCGTTCTTACATTCACATAATCACATGTCAATATGTCATGTTTTATTATTTAGGCAGGGAAAAAAAAAATAAACAGACAAAATTTTACAAGTTAAATTAATTATACTTCAAAATACGTGTAAAATAACGTTCATTTTGTACACTGCTGAGGATGAAAAAGAAGAATAAAGAGTGGTACGATGAAAAAGAAGAATAAGAGTAGTACGTTACTCATTAGGGGTTAAAACATACGGACTACTCTAAAAAAGACATCATTTTATAGATGATTATTGATGAATCTTTAATATTGTACTACATATACGCTATGTCACTTATGTGTCATTTTCATGTAATGTTGTGGGAGGAAAGTGTAGTGCAAGTGACGGAAATTTCTAATTCCTGTGCTCTTAGCTAGAGGACATGTGATATCATATCATGTTGCAAGTCATATTATTAGAGGATCAACTGATTAAGTAAACTAAAAATTTAAACTGATAGTTGAAACCTTTATACTACGATAATATATCACGTTACTCATTAAGCTTAAAATATGAATGTAATATGGGTTTTCTCATACTTATTGCTAAAAATTCCACTTAAAAGAGTCTTTTGTGTTGATCACTACTTGATCCTACAAAACAACTTAATTTGGAGGGTGGTCAATGTAATTTATTGAGTACACTTGGATACACCTAAACTTAAACATACAAAGTCCGTACTTAAATAGTATTTTTTTTTTTTTTAATTTGATCATTATTTGAATATATCTAAATGGACAAAATTATCATTTGAATAATGGAGCCAATATATATTGTATACTCCATAATCTATAATCAAAGAAAACGTGAACTTTTCCAACATTGATATACACAACTATCAATAATAAACAGCCAAACAGGAGAGGTGTTAAATTAGATTATTTAACTAACTTTTAATGCTACAATATTAACTATCATGGTTAATTGGGATCAAATGAAGTACGTACGTTATACTCGTAATATTAACTTCAGTAGTTCAGTCCCTCCTATAATAAATTGAATATTTGTATTTTGTTGCGTTACTTAACATGTACTCCATAACCAATTTAAATGAATAAAAAACAAATATACAAAATTAAATACCACTCTTTACGAAAATTAAGGAGAAACATGAAAAAATAAAAAGAAGTTAGAGAAAAAACAGGAAATGAAACGACGTACCGCCTGCTGGAAACCAGAGAGATAAATGGCAAGAGAACATTCATCTTTGCCAGGACAAAGTGCTTCCATTGTGACATCTGTTAAGGCCGGCATCGACACAACACCGGCGAACGAGGCCAAAAAAAGCGTGACAAAGAGGTGTGTTAAGCATCCAAGCTTCTCCATCTCCATTTCCATCTCCCTCTCTTACTCTTTACGTTATTTGTAAGATTTTAAGGAAAAGGCACGCAATGAGTAATATTAAAAGAAAGGGAGATGGTAACTAAAACGAATATTAACCTTTGCTTTATATAGTGCATTTTTTTTAAAAAAAAAAAATACAAACAAACCAACAAAAAAGCATTTGTACTATTTTTATGTATGTATATATGTATGAATGTCTATAATATTGTAGAATTATGACATCATATAAAATTTTGGAAATTTGAGAAATATGATTGAGGGAGTTAATAAGATGTGTCGTTTAGTTTTGGGGTTTTTTTTATTATATTTTATGCTTTTGCTTTTAGTACACTTATAGTGGGAAGGACGAAGCAATGAGATATTCAATAATTCCACATATATATAACTCCATCTATAAGTCTTTTCATTCTCCATTTCTCCATGACATGAAAGGGATATTGAGATAAAGACGGAGGCCGGTGGTAAATAAAATAAACTTTTTGACTATTGTGGCTTATTAATTAGCCTAGAAATAATTGTTACATATATTACGAGAATGTCAAGGAAAAAGTGCCATTTTTTATTTCTATATAAGAGTAATTTATTGTTAATGTATACTACTTGTAACAGTTGTAAGATTTAGCAACAAAGAGTATGAGAACAGTCTAATCATTGTTTGAATGAAATTGTGATATACTATAACGTGGGTCGAGTATTTAAACCATTATCATTATTGAATTGGGTATCTAATGATAACCAATGGAACTAAAAAAATGATATTCATGAAGCAGACAATAAGTTTGAGTATCCGGATTTTTAGATCGGAATTTAGATACCCTATTTTAGGAAGAACAAGGTTATCCAGTGGCGTAATTAAAATAGAAAGAGATAAGCAGTCACTAGTCTTGATACTATACATGGATATGGTCATATGGATGGAGTGTTAAAGATCTACTTGCTGGGAGGAATGCGTAGCGTCAAAGTTATGTAGTTGAAAAAGAATGGCTATTTAGTATTTACTGCTAAGTTTTAATTTTTCTGCCTTTTTTTGGACCTACCATGTTACCTACATAAAGAGAAATATTAGTAGAAACTCTTTGAAAAATCTTTTGAAATTATTCAACAAATTCTATACGGAGTATTATTGTTGTTCAAGATATCTACTTTATCTAGCAATCTATGGATGTAAGTCATGTAACCGAGGTTACCAACTCTTTGCATTTATGGTCAGCAAGTCATTAAGAAAATTGGATGTTGGAGGTGTTATTATGGACATTAAATTGTGTTAGGGAGTACATAGTAGATTAGGGAGTGAAGGGCATTTTTTTGATGATAAGGACGTCTCATTATTATCGTTCATTTCTTAATTACTCATTACTCGTATATATATTATGGAGGACATTAATACCTATTATATATGTTCGGAAAAGTGATAAAACACAATATGACCCTGTTCTTTAGAGCTGCTCTGCTCTGCTCTGAATTAAAAAAAATAATTAATAATATCTTTAAAATAACTAATTAATAATAACAATAATAATAATTTATAATTAATAGTTAATAATAATAATAATAATTTATAATTAATAGTTAATAATAATAATAATAATTAATATTTAATAATAATAATAATAATAATTAATAATTCACAATAAAAATTATTAAAATTTATAATAATATTAATTAATAATAATTTATAACAATTTCTAAATATATATTGATCATAATAATAACACATAATTATTTTTTCTGAGGGAATAATAATACTTCATATTTAATAATAATACTAAAATATTATTTTATTCGGATGCATACGCTTGGCATACCAATCATTCAACATGATACGAATATAGGAGTAGCAGATTCAACTATATTTGCACAATGGCGCAAAGATAGTATTGACAAAGTGCGACATCATTTAGCACGCCGAATTTGGAGGGCAAATCGATCGGAAAGCGACAATGAAGGTGATGACAATGAAGATCAAAGCGACAATGAAGATGATGAAAATGAAGATCATATGGAAGTAGATGGTTAATTCACCACGATGTTAAACTCTTATCTAATTATGTTCCTATTTTGATATGTGGTTGTAATAATTTGAAAATGTTACACTATTGTCTTTTATCTTTCTACTATTAACATATGTTAAAGATGGTACACATCTATTATGGTATGCACTTGTTAATAATAATAATAATAATAATAATAATGATAATAATAATAATAATAATTTTTCTCAAAAAAAAAATAATAATAATAAAATGCGATAATAATAGTAATAATACTTCAAATAAAATAATATTAATATTAATAATAATAATAATAGTTATAATAATAGTAACGACAATAATAATAATAATAATAATAATAATAATAATGCTGAAATTTGCTCTGCTGAAATCTGTTCTGCTCTGTTAAAATCTGCTCTGCTCAGAAACTCAAAAGAACAGGGCCTATATCACTTAAAATGTGTATAATAACTCGAAAATGGAGTAGCTAAGTTTACTAATGTACTCTGTATAATTGAAAGCAACTAAAAGTGAATCCTAAAATCCACACTTAAAATCTTTAATATTTGTCAACTTAAACTTGACTTAATTAGAACGGGTGAACGGCCTATTTACCGACCTTTTATAGACTCTAACTTTATTAACACAAATTATTCTAGTAGAGCCAGTATGGATAGAAACAATAGAAACAATATACTTTTCTTTAATTCTTACAAAAGAAAAAAAAAAAAAAAAATAGGTGTGGCACAAATTAAAGTTAATACCAGGTTTACTGATTTAGTAATTAGTACTTACTAGTATATTAATTATAATTATGATGTTGGCCTAACTTTTGAGATCAAATTTGAAATATCTTCTTTTTCCAACATAATTGGGGAAAAGTCGGAAAACACTTTGTCATATCTCAGAACGAATTCTTCTAAGAGGAGATCGAGTAGGCAATCTAGGCATTAGGCATTACGCACGTATCACTCTATCACATGATAGATGGATTTTTTCAAATATTATTAGATGAATAATAATGAGATACCAAGATTATAGTGCAACATTAGGTCCGATAAGTGCATGCTTAAACTTTATACCAATAAAAAAAAATAAAAAATCGATCGTTTAATTATGTTAAAACAAATGGTAGGAGAAGCACATTCGTAGAAAGTTATTTGCTTTATATTTCAACGCGGGATACAAAATTAAATATACACAATTATGTTTAAGAAAAATGTTAAGTGTATCATGTTTAGACAGAATGTTTGCACCAAAATAAATAAAAAAAAAAAAAAAGTTTAGATAAAATGTAAATGAAACTAAAATTCAGGTAGCATCTCGTATTTGAAGTTTTTTTAATTAGCTACGGAATATATAAGACGACTATTTCGGTCTTTAGTAGATATTTATGTCCTTAATGCTGATTTTAATATTGCATGTGTATGTTCTTCTATTGACAATCACAATCGCTTTAACTTTAAGCAAAGTGTAACCCAATATCCTACATAACAGATTACATAGTAGAACTAGTTACATCTTAGATGAAGTTATCTTATGTACAGGCCCGCCAAATTAAAGTAACTGAAGATCTAGTAGAAAGGTATCTAATTAGAAGTTATCTTGCTCGAAATCATTCCTTCTAAGAGAAGCCAACTTTATTACGTTACTCTTTACTACTCATAGAAGATCATACTATACCATGCAAATAATTTTTTCATTTCTCTTTGAATTCTAGTTATAGATATAATAAGTCCCTTTTCACATTGTCCCTAAAGCATACAAAGTAAATTGAGTACACTACATATTCTTGTTGTTTCAATTTGTAAAACATTGTTTTTTCTTTAAATGTCTTTTTTAAAGTGCGTGATGATTCACGTACTTGTACATAAAAAGATCCGATAAAATTAATGTTCCGTAGAGCACATTTATACTTCTTCTGTTTCTTTTTAGATGCATCACTTTTTAAATACGAAAGTTTCAAATTGGATGCATCACTTTCTTTTTTAATTACAACCTCCGTTTCATAGTTTTTGTAACTTTGGGGTATTAGAAGTTGCTAAAAATATGAAACGGATGTAGTAATAAATTCTTTCGATCTCTCTTATATCCTATCATACGATTCCTCTTTTTTCTCTCTCTATCTCTCTCATCTCCAAAAATTCTCTATAAGTTCGTGTTTTTGCAAATAATACATGTAAAAAAACAAAGAAATTATTAATATTGAGGTCATGCATACTGCCACATAAGATCTTATTTCGAGTTTTTAAGGACATGAATACTCGTGCATGCACTAGTACATAACTAACTTTAAGTAACACCCCAAAAGTGTTACATAAAATGGTAAAAGTGTTATTATAGACAATAGGTAACACTTTAGTGGGTGATACATCCGCCCATGTTCCCTAAGGTCTTATGTAACACTTTAGGTAATGTATGGTAACACTTTTAAAAGTGATACTATAAGCCCTATTTAACACTTTTTTTTTATATTATTTGTATCATTTTTAAGGTGTTACTTTTTTTTCTCTAGTAACACTTACTTAAATTTAGTAACACTTTATTTGACATTATGTATCACTTTTTCAAACAAAAGTAACACCTTATTGATTATTAAGTAAGATTTTTCAATTATTTTTTGACATATAGTAACACGTTGACATTATTATGTATCACTTTATTCAAGCTGATGTATCACTTTATACCATAATAATAATAATAGCCTGTTTCGGGTTGTTTTCAGCGCAAGGTTCAAGCGGTTTTCTCTTTGTTTTTCAGGCTATTTCCTGCTCGGCTTTGGGTGCAGTTTGGTGGTGGTTTGGGTGTGATTTTCGTGCAGTTCGTGGTGCAGTTTTGGTGTGGTTTCGTGAGCAGTTTCTGGTGCAATTTTGGTGTATATAAGGTGCAGTTCATGGTGCTTTTTGGTGGTGGTTGTGGTGCAGTTCGTGGTGCAGTTTTGGTGTGGTTTCGTGAGCAATTTCTGGTGCAATTTTGGTGTATATAAGGTGCAGTTTTGGGTGCTTTTTGGGTGCAGTTTTAGTGTGTAGTTGATGTGCTATTTTGGTGTGTCGTTTTGTGTTCTTTTCGTGGCAAGTTGTGGTGGGTGTTATGCCTCCTATTGTTCGTTTTCATTGTCCATTTGCGGGTCTAAATGGGTGTCAGGATGGTGGGGGTAATGGGCTCACTAAAGCTTATTTACTCACTCATCTCCGTGATCGTCATTGTTGTGGGGATGCACGAGATTTGACTCGACACTCTCTTTCTTCTGATTTGGCCATTTTCTTAAAGGTGGAGTCAACATTTCATCGTATGGGCATTTGGTTTTGTGGGGAGTGTTTCAAGACGCATACTTTTCGTACGAAGTGTCGACATGGT